TCATGTCAAGCAAGGCCTACAGAAATGCAATGGAAATTGTTCACAATATGAACCCTGCAACACCAACAGGTGCTCCATCCCAGTCCTCTCTCCCTGCCACGCCTTCGGGGCTGGGGCCAGGGCTCTGTGCCTGACCTGGGCTGTGCTCTGCACACAGGTTTGCAGTGCAGACCGTGAAAGCCCTGCTGCGCCAGCTGCTGGATGAGGATGTGTTGATGGTGATCGATCGCAAGTGTGGCTGGGACACACTCCTCAAGGCTGACACCCACCACTATGCAGTGGGTCTGCTGGCCAGGTGAGAGCCCTTTCTCCCCACTGCCCCCGTCATTTCTGCCCTGTGCACAGGCCACCCCACACAGTGCCCGTGCTGCTGGGCCAGAGGGCCTTGGCAGCCAGGGATGGCTGAGCAGAGTGGCAAAGGCGGAGAGGGGTGCCTGCACAGGAGGAGCCACCTCCCAAAGCGCCTATGTTCCCTCCCGGGCTGGTGGCCAAAGACCAGGTCTGTGTGAGTGAGTCCCAGGAGAGCTTTGCCCACCTGGCTCAGGGTCTCTGGCACCTTAATTCCCTCTTGCAGGGAGCTGTGCCGTGTCTCCCGCTCCTTCTGCTGCAGCATCGCCGTCAGCCTGCTCCCGCGGCTCAGCAGGGAAGAGCCCCTGTGGGAACTGCCTGCCCTGGCGTTCCTGGTGGAGGTGAGCCTGATGGCGAGCGCTGCCTGGCCCAGCTGCCTCCCCCTCTCTGCCCTCTCACAGCCGCAGCCGCCTGGGACGGTGCCTGCACCTTGTTCTGCTGCCTGGGCCCAGCCCCGTGCGGGTCCGGGCTCCTGCCGGCCGGGCACCCCGTCACTGCTCCCTGCCTTTCAGATGCTGCACTGCCTGAACCCCAGACAATGTGGGCTCAGCGTCCTGCAGATTATTTCAAGGCGCCTGCGCAGTGAGTGCCCCGAGAGGCGTCACCTGGCGCTCCGAGGCCTGGTGGTGATCAGCAAGGCTCCCGCACTGGTGAGCAGGGGGCAGGGGCTGAAGCCGGGCCGGCAGCGTGCAGCTGTGCAAGGCAGTAGCTTGGCCTTGGCTGGCCTTTGGCAGCTGTGCCAGCTGCTCCCAGCTCTCCTCCTCCCTGTTCAGCTGCCCGACTCCTTTGGGACGCGCCTTTGGCCTCTGGGCCCCACGGCAGCAGCGTGGGGCTGCACCACAGCATTGTGTTCCACACAGGCTAAGAGCATCTGGAGCCTGAATGAAAGCCTCCTGGAGCTACTGCAGGATGCAGACAGAGACGTGGTTCAGATGACCCTCTCTGCATTCATCAATGTGCTGCACTTGAAAATCATCCAAATATCCAGCCCCACTGCCCTGAAGATGCTTGAGGCGCTGCGACCACTCTTTGACAACGTAATGCTCTGTGCCCCTCATCGTGGGCACTGAGTGCTGCCAGGAAACTTTGGGCCCAGTGTCTTTTCAGGCCTGTGCCCCGGTGGGCCTGGAGAAGCCTGTGTTGAGGTCTTTTGCTCTTCCTTTGCACCAGGAGCACAGCCAGCTTCAGCAGCTCTCCATGGTCCTCTTCCGGGAGGTGATGGAAGTGACAGAGAGGAGCAAGAGCCTAAAGCCACACGTCTACCTGAGGCTGGTGCCATTCTACTTCAACTGGCACGATGAGAACCAGCGTGTGGCAGAGGTGAGGACTCGTGGGCTCTGGTGTCCCCATGGCAGGAGGCTGCTGTGCCTCCTGCCCTGGCCCACAGTCGCCTGCAGCCTCCTCCTGGCCTTGGTGTAGGGATGCGGGTGCTGTGCCCTGGGCTGCGGTGCCATGGCCCGCTCTCTGTTGCTCTGCAGGCCTCTCGGGAAGCACTGTTTGGTGCAGCCAGGTTCCTGAAGTGGAGGGATCTTGAGCACTTGGTGACCATGGAGCAGCCGTGGAAGTTTGGCGAGTGCCTGGTAAGGACGGCCCCAAAACCCCAGTCCCTGGCTCCCCAAGAGCACCCAGCCCTCTGCTCCCCCCAAAGCCCGGCCCCAGCGGCTGCTGGCCGGGCCTCAGGGCTCTGCGGGCAGGGGAGCCCCATGCTGGGGGCAGGGAGTGCCCGGCCAAAGGGCAGAGCCTGAGCTGAGCCTTCCCTCCGTGCCCTGGCGCTCTTTGCAGCTGGAAAAGGACAGGAGCTGAGTGGGCCAGTACGTGCGCCAGCTCCTGCTGTACCTGGAGAGCCCAGAGGAGCCCCTGCGAAAGCTGGCCATCAAGTTCCTGGGTGAGCCACAAGGCCGGGGTCCCTCCCCGCCCCGCTGCAGCTCAGCCCCAGCCCCGGCTGCTGCAGCGGCAGCAGGATGCGGCCCAGGGCATGTGGAGCCCCGAGTGGCCTGGGGCCTGCTTCCGCCCTGGGCCAGCCCAGCCCTGGGGCGTCCCCATGCGGGGGACCTGTGCCTCTGGGGCCCTGACAGCCTCTGTGTTCCCAGGGATCGCCGCCAGGTCCATGAAGCAGGAGCAGCCAGAGCTGCAGCTCATCTGCCAGGGTGAGGGAAGGCACCTTCCAGCTGATCCCCTTGGGCCCTGCTCCCTCCTGGCCATGGCAAGAGCTGGCTGGGATGGCCCGGGCAGGAGGGGCTCCTCGCGTCCCCACACCCCTGGCCTCTCACCTTGGTTCTCTTTCTTTCTCTTCCAACCCTTCAAGGCATGACTGATGACAGCCCTGCCATCTCAGACCTGGCCATTCAAACGCTCCACATCATCAGAGCTGTACGGAGAACTCCATTCTTCCCATTCTGGTAGTCTCCATTCCTGCTTCTTCCAGCCCGTAGAGGCGTGACAGGTGACATCAGACTCGCCATGGCAGGCCTGGCAATTCAACACTGCTATGTGCTAAGAGCTGTACAGACGGCTCCCCACTCCAGATTCCAGCGGCTCCAAGACTGGCTGTGCAGGGCGTGGAAGACCCAGCCTTTTCCACAGGGCAGTGTCTGCCTGTGCTGCTGCAGCTCTGTGGAGAACTGATGAGGGAAGCTCCATCTCCTGGGGCCACCTGAGCCTGTGGGGAAGATGCTTCTTCCCTGCAAGCACTTTCTTTGAGCCTAGCAGGGAATATAACATACGTATTATCACACACAGAGGCCCAGGAGCTTTGTTTTTGGTGCCCAGTGTGCACAGGGCCTTGGGGAAGAGGGGAAAAGTGCTCCTTGTGCTCAGCAACACTTGCCCCGCTGTGCAGCATGCCAGCAAAAGCGAGCAGAAGCCCCTTGGCCTTTGGTGGTTCTGCTGGAGCCTCAACGCTTGCAGCAGAGTGGAGGGGCAGAGGCTGGAGCTGTGGGGATCCCTGAGGACCTTGTCCTTGGAGATGACCACAAGCTCTCCCCCAGCCAGGAAGCAGCATCTGTGTCCTGCTTGTGTGTTGCTGGCTGGATTGCTCCGGGCTCCCAAGTGCCTCTGGAGCAGCTCCTCTGGAGCTCCTTCAGGGCTGTGCCGCTGCCGGGCAGGTTGGCGGGGCTGGGGGAGACCCACAGGGGAGGGGGCGCTGGGAGGCCAGGAAGGGGTGAGGTGCTGCGGAGGCCCTGATGGGACAAGGGAGCGGGAAGCCTTGAGGGGAATCTGGGAGGGGGTGGGTGGCAGAAGGCTGCGAGGGGACAGACTGGGCGCAGGCCCCGAGGGGCAGGGTGGAGGGAAAAGGCCCCAGGACTTGGGGGGCAGAGGCCATAGCAGCCCCCAGGCAGCCACCTCCTTCCCTGCCAGTCGGCTGCTCTGGTGCTTTCCCGAGGCATCTCCCAGCCCTGTGGCAGAGGCCCTGGAGGCCTCAGCAGCAGGGTGGGCACACCCCCAAGGGGGGCCAGGCTGGGCTGGCTAGGGACAAGGAGGGCAAGGGGGCCCTGCCGGGGCACGTCCGCCGGGTGCTGCCGGCCAGGGGCAGTGGCACGGGCAGGGCTGGCGGCCAGCCCGGGCCCCCGCGGCTGCCCAGGCCACGGGGCTGTGGCCGACACCCCGCTGAGCCAGAGCTCTGGGCCCGCAGAGCTGCTGCCACCACGGGCAGGGCACTGGGCTCCTCGGGCAGACCTGCGCACTCGCTGCTGCCCAAGCGGCTCCGCGCCCCACACACAACAGCACCAGAGGCTGCCCAGGAGCAGCAGCACCCACAACGCCTGGGCCTCCTCACCCAGGCACCCACACCCGCCAGGACGCCAAAAGTGGCCAGGCTGTGGGCACAATTGCACCCGCTTTGGCAAAAGGCTTCAGGGCAAGTAGCCACCACAGCTTTCCAGTGACTCCCCAGCCTCACAGCAACCCTTGGCAGCTTCAGCTGCAGCCTGTCCTCCTGACTGACTTCAATGGCCCTGCTTGAGGCTGGACACGCCTTCCACAATCAGCTGTCCCCAGCCAGTGCCATTGGTGCCATCCTTAGAGACTCTGCTGGGACACCAGCCTCGGGCTGCAGCTGCTCAACCTCTCCTCCACGCAGGCACCTTCAAAACACGGGTATGGGCTTCTAAACTCTACGTCCAGCACTTGAGGGCAACAAAGGAAGAAGCAGCAGAAGCTGAAGCAAAGCAGGGCCTCATGTGGCGGAGCTTCAGGGATGGAGGCAAGGAAGCACTGTGGTGTCTGCTGAAAAGATGGCCCAGTTCACCAGCTCACACTTTGCTGCTGGACGCTCCTCCTTTGGTCCTGCTGGAGCCCATTCCCTACCAGTGCATGGCCCTGCCTTGTTCCTGGATCCAATCTCCGAGACCCCTGGCATCAAGTGGGCCCTGTGTCCACCTGAGAGCAGAAACTGGCAGAACGTCTCTGCTTCCAGCACTTCTCTTGGCTGCTCCTTCAGGCGGGTGGCACCTTCATGGGAGACACAGAACAGCTTCTCATCCCAGACTTCTCCCTGTCCCCTGCACTTCCCCAATGGACTGGACATCAGCTGCTGGCCACAGCTGAGCACACAGCAACTGGAGTGTTGAACATGCGAGACTGGGCTGATTTTTTTTTCCAGAAGGCAAGAAAACAAGAGAAAAGAACAGAAGGAAGCTTGAGATTCTCTCTGTCCAATCTACTTGTCCTATGAAACTCAGCAGCTGATGGTGGTTTTGTGCTGCTGCTAATCACTTCCACCCAAAAATCATGCCAGGAAGGAACAACAGCTTCTGCCTTCTGACAGATGCCAAGTCTTGCCACCAATTCCTCCAGCTGCCGCTCCCAACAGCCACCTGCAAGAGGGCAGACCTCAGTGCCCCTTGGCTTTGGCTGCCCTCTGGCAGAGAAGTCCCCCGGGGGCACAGCTGTTTGGGGCAGGAGACGGGCAGCACCCTTGCCAGGACTCGGGGTGGTGGCAGGTCTCCTTGGGCCAGGACTTGCCACAGCTGCTGATTTGGGTGCAGCCCTGGCCAAAGGGCTCCCAGCAGCATTGGTGCCCTTGCCCACACCTTCCTTCTCGGTGTCACCCCCCGTGTTTAGGATGGCCACCAGCCAGCACTTCTCCCAAGGAGGTCGTGGCAGCTTGTGTGGAAGGCCCCGTGCCCTTCCCGCTGCGGCTGCATCGGCGGCCGAGAGGGCTCCTTGTGCTGGGCCGGGGCTCCATGGTAGCCTGGCTGCGGGGGCAGGGGAGCCTGGAAAAGAGCCCGCACACCCCAGGGAAGGGAGCAGTGTGTGGGGCACAGGCACCATGCCAGCCCCACACACTGGGCATCAGGGACTGGGGCTTTGGGACCGTCCTTACCAGGCACTCGCCAAACTTCCACGGCTGCTCCATGGTCACCATGTGCTCAAGATCCCTCCACTTCAGGAACCTGGCTGCACCAAACAGTGCTTCCCGAGAGGCCTGCAGAGCAACAGAGAGCGGGCCATGGCTCTGTGCCCCTCACTGTGGACACTGAGTGCTGCCAGGAAACTTTGGGCCCAGTGCCTTTTCAGGCCTGTGCCCCGGTGGGCCTGGAGAAGCCTGTGCTGAGGTCTTTTGCTCTTCCTTTGCAGCAGGAGCACAGCCAGCTGCAGCAGCTCTCCATACTCCTCAGAGTTGCAGCCTTTCAGGGACGTTCCCTCTGCATTGGAGCGCAGCATCTTCACCCCTGGCAGGTTGGCACACTGGCACAGACAGGAGTCAGTGAGAGCCAGAAGAACAACATCAAAGACAATCAAGAAGACACTTTTAATTTCTGCTTTGGGAGTCAATCCCATTAAATCATTACTGTGAGGAAGTGTGAAAGCTTTAGGAACCAGAACAACTCTAGAATCTATTTAAGAACTCGATGTTTTACACCGCTCTGTTTGTTCCAGCTCCTCTCTGTTAACACAAGCCCAGCCCTCCCAAGCTGCAGCAGCTCTTCCATCCAGCACAGAGCCTGACAGGTCAGCCCTCTCCAGGCTGGCACAGCACAGGTTGGCACGGGCCAGGTTGCAGCGGCTCAGATTGGCCATCTTGAAGTTGATTTAACAAAGATCCAGGTGGGAAAGATCCGCTCCACTGAAACTGAGACCCTGGAAATCCCAAGGAATAAACCCCCCAGAAAGGTTACAGGGGGGAAGGGGTAGGTCTGGACACAAAGTTAACATCATTGTGTAGATAGGTGTGCATTAATATTTACAGTGTATAAATATCTATGTATAAATATATGGATAGAAATGTATTAAAATATATCCTGTCTAGAAATATAGACAGATACAAGATAGATACAGACACACACAGGTCCTGGGAGGAGCTGAAGACACCCCACCAGGGAAGGGGGCTTAGAAAAAGGAGGGAGATGGACTTTTTATATGGGCCTGGAGGGACAGGACAAGGGGCAATGTTTTTTAAACTGAAAGAGGGCAGGGTTAGATGGGAGACCAGAGAGAAATCCTTCCCTGGGAGGGTGGGGAGGGGAAGGGATGGAATTCCCAGAGAAGCTGTGGCTGCCCTTGGATCCCTGCAAGCGTTCAAGGACAGGTTGGATTAACCTGGTCTAGTGGAAGGTGTCCCTGCCCATGGCAGGGGGTGGAATGAGAAGACCTTTAAGGTCCCTTCCAACCCAAACCATTCCATGATTCTATACAGATAAATACACACAAGACCATTTATTCTACTACTTCAGACTAATGAAATCTAAATGCAAAGCTCTCAAAAATTGTCCTTTGTTCATTTTGCATTTAAACAAATTGCTCCTCCAGCAAAGCTTCCCCCGAAAGCAGGAATGCAGCCCAAACCACCCTGGAATTCCAAG